AGTAGTATAGGTACGGTGATGCACAATATTTAAGTTAACTATTATATTATATTTTTTTTATGTAAGGTGGAAATTAATGTTTTGCGCAAGCGTCATGCCTGGTACCAAGCTAACGACGAACCGTTCCATACTTTGATACATTTATTAATTTTTTTGGGTTATGCATATACATACACTGTGTAAGTTTTTCCTTTTAATTTCCTCCAACTTTTTTTTTTTTAATATCTAAGCCATCAGGTAATTAGTTTGTATATTTACTAAATATTTTTATTTTTTTTCTTTATAAAGGAACATAAGTTGAGGTTTGTCTTTTATTTCTTTCCTCATTTACTGGGTTTTTGGGGAAATAGGATCATAGTTTGGCCACTATATAGACCCAGTTGGCGCCTATTTATTTGTCTACTATTTCCGGAATTTTTGTAAGCTATCCACCCCCTAGCTGCCGTCTGAGCGACGTCGAAGGCCCGAAGGTTGACACCGGAACAACCGAAACTTGTGTAACCGTAGTAGACAACATTTTTAATTGTAGTTAATACTTTAATAATTTTTTTTAAGTTTAAAAATTTTGGTGGAATCACCAAGTTCATTTTGTAGGTTACATATGCATCTCGTACCTTAAATGACACAGAACAGAATTACTCAGTTATTGAAAAAGAACTTTTGGCCATTGTGTGGGCCACTAAATATTTCCGTCCGTATCTGTACGGCCGAATCTTTAATATTATAACAGACCATAAACCCCTTAAGTGGCTCTTCTCCTTAAAAGAAGAAAACACAAAATTTACTCGCTGGAAATTAAAACTATCAGAATTCACATATAACATAATTTACAAAAAAGGTAGCCTAAATTCAAACGCTGACGCCTTATCTAGAATCGAACTGCATACTAAAGAAACAGATCCATTTTGGCAACAAATAGGAGATATATTAAAAGATGTTGAAAATTACACCGAACAAAACTCAGATCTATTTAGTTATAACACACCACAACAAAGTACTAACCAAAATGACCTTATTAATTTATATACCGAGAACATACCTATATTTGAAAACTCCTTAAAAAATAATACAGTAAAAATAAATGACGACATAGATAATATATCTCTACAAGTTCAAGTTGACTCAGATGCTCACACTGAGACTGAAACAGCACACGAAATAGAAACATTACTAAATGATTAAATTGAAAATATTGAAAACAATAACGACAGTGACGACATTACTATACATTCTAATTTAACTCACAATCCGACTTTTGAAATACCCACAATAAAGACAGCTGTGAACTACGGACAAAACCAAATAATTATCAGTGACGTACTACATTCACCAGCTACCCCAAAAATAAAAATTCTTTTCGAAAAAAAAAGACGAATTAGTGCTCAAATTTCAAAGAATAATTTTGAATCAGATGTAATTAATCTTATAAAAATTACGTTAATCCAGACGGCGTTCATTACATTTATTTCGAAAATCCTAATATGTTTGAGCCATTCTTAGTAATCCTACAAAATTATTTTAAAAACTCTGCTATCAAATTTAAAAGGTGTACCCAAAAATTATTAGACATTACAACCAAAGACGAAGTTAAGGAACTTATACAAGCCTATCACGAAGGCAAAACAAACCACAGGGGTATAGACGAGACATATTTGAGACTTAAAGACAAATATTATTGGCCTTTCATGAAAAACTCGATACAAACTTACATAAATGATTGCGAAATTTGCCAACAAAGCAAATACGAAAGAAATCCCGTAAAAATAAAAATGAATCAAACCCCTACTCCAACAAAACCCTTTCAATTCTTATATATAGATACATTTACTCTCGAAGGTACCAAATTTTTGACAATCGTTGACAGTTTTTCAAAATATACGCAAGCATACCATCTAACAAGTCTTTGTAGCACCGAAATCGTTAACAACCTTATAACATTCTTCTCTCACCATGGTATCCCTCAACAAATATACACCGACAATGGTACTGAATTCAAAAATACCGTAATTCCATAACTTCTCAACCTACATAAAACTAAAATACATTTTTGTTGCCCTGAACACCCACAATCACAAGGTTTCATAGAAAGACTACATTCGACAATTATAGAACACATACGGTTACTTAACACTAAAGGCTCTCTTAAAACACCAATTCTTTTGAAAATGCCTTATGCGATTATGGCATATAATCACTCTATACACTCTACAACCAAGCGAAAACCTATAGACATAATTAACGGACATATGAACACAGAAGATCCTTTTAACTTAGATATTGACAAAATTCTTATTAACGACTACATAAATGACCACAAAGAAAGAACAAAACTGCTATATTCAAAAATTAATGAAGATTTGCTAAAAGAAAAACAAAACCGTATCGAAAAAATCAATAAAACCCTTGATGACCCTAACATTTTTCAGCAAAACCAAAAAACATATATTAAAAAGCATATAAGGCAGAAACAAGCCAACAAATTCAATAAATCTACTGAAATAAAAAAGGTCAATATCGAAAATAAAACTGTTTCTACAGATTCAAAAAACAAAATTCACATGGACAATCTCAAACGACCTCTACAAAAAACTTACGATTTTCCTAACTAAAACACTTTAATTTCTTTCAGATCACTGGGAATCTTTGGACACTCCCAAAATAAAATTACCTTAAAAAATTTGGACAATAATTTTAGACTTATGCCACTTAAATTAGGAACGGCAAAAGTCAGAGACTCATACTTTAACCTGATACACTATTACGACCTTAACCCAGTTATTGACGAAGTCAATAAACTAAGTCGTCATGCAGATTATCTAAAATCTTATATTTCTAAAAACATAAATTATACAAGTGAAACATCTAACGACATAAAAATTCTATCCTTCTTAGAAGAAAAAATCGATACCAAACTCAGAGAAATTTTACCTAATTCTTATAGAACAAAAAGAGGACTTGTTGACGGGTTAGGCTCGGCATTTAAAGCACTTACTGGAAATCTCGATGCTGATGATGGCAAAAAGTACGATCAACTTATTAGAGAACTACAAGAAAATCATAACCAATTAGCTAATAACATAAAAACACAAAATTCACTATCCATATCACTAATAAACAAATTTAATTTAACAATAAATCAAATAAGTCACAATGAAAAACTTTTAGAGTCAAAATTAAATCAAATAGCAATAATTGTTCATGGAACTGTATTTAAAGAAAATGCTATATTTATTAAAGATACCATCAATCAAATTGTAAATATGTTCGAGATAATTAATTCTATATTACAAGACGTTGAAACAGCTATATCGTTTTCAAAGTTAAAAGTTATGCATCCTAGTATAATAAGAACTGAAGATATTTACAACGAGTTAAAAACACTTCAAGAAAAATTAGAGATAGGTAAATTACCAATAGAAATAAATCCATACAATATTCTAATGTTTGAAAAATTAATTAAAATTGATAGCTTCATTTTAAAGAACAGAATTACGTATATACTACGAATACCCATAACCTCAATTAACGTTTTCAATTATTATCATTTATATCTCGTACCAATTGGAACGAAAGGTCAATTAAAAGCAATAATTCCAAAAAATAAATTCTTATTAAAAAACGATAAGCAATACGTATTTATGAGCATGCCCTGTCCTAAACTGTATGGAACAAAACAGTACTTTTGCGAGAATGTTGAACCACAATTTATCAAGAAAGAAAATCCTTGTGAAGTCGAACTCCTTAATATCAAAAACACCTCCGCTTGCCACCAAACACGAATCGAAATTACAGAACCATACCTCGAACGATTGGAAGATACGAATCAATGGATTGGCATCCTTCCTTTTAAAGAAACAATCTCTCTCCTCTGTGAGAACCAACAAGAAGTTATAGAAGTTATTGGCACCTACCTTATCAATATTCCAATCGATTGTTCAATAAATATGCAACAAAAGAAAATTGTCAACAGAAACAATAGCGAAATTATTGGTCAACCTATCTTCTTTCCTGAACTGCAATTCGACACCCTAAGTATTCCAGAAACTAATTCCCAAATCAGACTTCAAGAAATTAACCTAGACGAACTGCAGGATATTAAATCAAAATTTTTCGAAAACAATCCAGATCCAATATTCCGTATAATTCGTTCCACGCCGAGCATCTGGACAATAGTTATTGATTGTCTCCTGATCCTACTTGGGGGGACTCTAGCTTTCAAAAAACTTCGTACCATCCACACACAAAAGAAGCAAGAACAACCAATAGACCTGGCCAATGTTCAACTTCCTCGTTAACCCTCGAAGTTGAATTTCCGAAGGGAGGAATTACGTCAACGTTCCTTATGTGAATTGAAGAGTCAACGACTATTTTCTTGGAAACTGTTATCGCATATCTAATTTCATTATTCTGGTTTACAACATTTTTATATGCATTACTTCACTTGTTAATTAGCTCTCTTGATAGTTAGATGTATTGTTAGATGAAATAAAACTTGTAAAATAATAAAATATATTTTTTTAAAAAACGAATTTCGAGATCAGAAAATATTTGTCATGTGTTTATAAAAATCACCACCCCATCACATTTATTTAGACTTCCGCTATTGTAAATAATCGAATAACCAGGAATAGCAAACACAACCAGGTCTTTAATTATTCTTGTTTTTGTGAACACAATACAATCGACATTCACGTCCAGTTCATTCAAAAAAGGTGTGTATTCATCTAAATTTCTATTTAAACTTCTGATATTATTATGTATAATTTTAAAATTTGCAGTATTTCTATTTATCGATAAAACATCATGTACCTCTTTGTTATTATTAAGACTGAAATCCTCCAATTTTTTCAACAATAAAAACTTTAATATAGGGATCCATTAAATTTATTCTTGAAAACTAATTACAAATACTGAAATAGATCGAAACAGAACAAATAAAAACTTATCATATCTATCAGACTAAACAGGTCCTAATTGACTTTGACTTTACGAGGTTCACTTCAATAATTGTACTTTTTAACAGGCTTCTTTATTAAATCGGATGCAGTTTTTGTCGATTTGCTGTGTATAGTAGCCCCGTCAGATCTCAAACGGAATTCCCTAATAGGTTTGGTCTCCTTGATTTTATTCTTTTCTCCTTTCTTAGTTTCCGTCTGAGATTTAGTTTCCTCAGTAATACGTTTCTCTTCATAAACTGGATCTTCAGTTTCTTTAGGAGAAGGTGTTGATGGTTCACTGGCAGCTTTTTGCTGAGGAGGGGGTGAAAAATTAAACTCTGGTTCCAGATTTATCAATTCGCTGGCAGTATATGGTACTTCTCCTATAAAAAGTTTTAATCCCTCTATATAGGCTTTCTTATTTCCATTTCGCGCTATTTTAAGATTCTCCAGCAATATCCTTTTCTCTTTTCTATCTTCTTCTATCAAATCTTCAACTGTTTTTATCGATGTTCCTCTGAGATTAGTACAGTTACTCAATATTTCTTTTTTCTTTAGATAAGATATTAAGGCAAACAACACTGGGCGAGAATTAAAAAAAAACTGTCGTGCAATATAAAAGTTAATTTACAATTTACATCTCACTGCATATCAAAGGATAAACTCATCTACTAAGCAACTTCGGTTGCTAAGAATTATTATTAATCATCATGATATTATGACTTTTATATTTTTATATACAAGACATGTCTTTTTGTTCTTCTAATTAAAATATACCTTATACACCTTAGCAAAACCATTTATTTATGCTGGGATAAACAATTTTAAAGATCGCACAATTGGTGACCCCGATAGAACAGCCCAAGATGAAAAAGAAGAAGTCTGGATGGAACAGAGATTCCGATAGATACCACAGCAAATCATGCAATCGGCTGAGTTGCCAAATGCAACAGCGGTAGAATTGGAAGCAAGACACATTTATTGTGAGGGGGTGAGTTTATTCTTTTTACTGGCTGCCACACTCTAAATTAAACTACACATACTTTTGAAAATTCGAGTACCGATATTTAAAAAAAAATCGCAATACAAAACCATTCAATAACACATCATAATACACAACACACATCATACATGCAATTAGCATTTTGTAGGTACAAGACTCAGTCCACACATACGTGGAGGTCCAGATTGTCCCATGCTAAAGGAGCAATCGCCCACATGCACCCACACATATGTGCATATAGTGCATATGTGCATATATGTGCATATATGTGCATATATGTGCATATATGTGCATACATGTGCATAAATGTGGAGGTCCCAATTGTCGTATGCTAAAGGAGCAACCGTCCACATGTGCCCACACATATATGCTATATATATATTATGGGAATATTAACACTCCAATAAACCCCCAGTAGGCGGCGATAATCAATAAAATTTTTTGCCAAATCATGACGTAGCTGTGTTCTTCTAATTGTATTCAGACCCTACATACTTACCACCTTCTACTTACTGCTTCTACTGCTTCTACTACTGCTTATAAATCAAGAAAAAGGGTATCTGGTGTAAAAAACATCGAAAACTATAAGCATAACAAAATAAAAAAATCCAAAATTGCTGGAAAAGCTCATAAAAACTATAAGGGGAGAGATGTAACACCAAGACAAACAGAAGCTTATTGCAGGTTAGTTTTGTTTTTTAAATATATTTTACCAAATATTAGCTAGAGATGATATTTATTTTTATTTTTATTTACAAATGTAAGTTAAAATGTATGGAGACTATCTCAGAAGATAATATCCAAAGTAGTATCCGTTTTATTAACAATTTTGATAGTAAAAATGCCCAAGACACATACTTGCAGGCACTGATTGAAAAGCAGGAAAAACATAGAAATCGTCTCAGATCTAAAGTAGTTAAGAATAGAAAATTTACTTTCAAATATCACATTAAGATAGATGGTGCTAAATTAAAAGTGTGCAAAAAAACATTTTCCAGCATCCATGGAATTTCTGAGCAACAAGTTAGATGTTTATGTATTTTATTAAAAACAAACGAGCAACCTATAGATCATAGAAGAAAATCACAGGGATCATGGAGCAATGCAATATCTGGTGATACATTATCTAAAATCCGGGAGCATATTGAGTCATTTCCTGTCAAATGTGTGCACTACTATTATAAAGATGCATCAGCCTATTACTTAGATGAAAAACTTTATGTAAAAACTATGCATGCATTGTGCAAACAAAAATATCCAGATCATCCAGTAAAATATAAATTTTACTTAAAATATATGCAGGAAAACTTTAGCTTACAATTTGGTAGAAAGGAAATTAATGTCTGTGCACTGTGTAAAGAGTTAAAGATTAAAATAAAAAATCCACATTTAAATGATAACGCAAAAAAGTCTATCAAGCAGATATTGAGCTCCATAAAAGACAAGCAAATAAATTTGACAAAAAAATTCAGGAGGTAAAAACTAAGTGCAAGAATAATCCAAAGGTGTATGGGATTACATTTGATTGTATGCAAAATTTACCACTTCCACATATTCCAGTGCAGGAAGTTTTTTTATCTACGTCAACTATGACTATATGAGTTTTGCATTTATGACATGAAAACTGGAAAAACAGGTTTTTATTCTTATTGTGAAGGGGTTGCTAACAAAGGTCCCAATGAAGTGGGTACCTCTGTGCTGGATTACATTAAAAATAATATTGGCAATGATGCTAAAGAGTTGCACCTATTTTCAGATGGCTGTACAGGCCAAAATCGTAATCATGCCATGGTTCGTATCCTTTTATCACTGGCAGCTGAACAAAATAACAATATCAAGAAGATAGAATATTACATACCCAAAAGAGGTAATTCATTTCTGCCAAACGACAGAATGTTTGGGACAGCAAAGAGACATATTCGAAAAAATTACAGGATTTACACTCCAGCCGAGTATGAAAATCTTATAGTTAAAGCTATTGAAAAATTTGAAATACAAAGGCCGAAAACTGAAGATATTATAGACATAAAAAAAATGGTGGCCGAAACAGTATAAGAAAGTGGTGCTGTCTGTGGATTCCTATGGAAAAGAAGTACCAAGTACCAAAGAACAGCTTCTGCTATTTCCAAAGTGTCACATTTCACTTTTTTTAAGTCCACACCAGGTCTTGTAACAACATGTGGTTCCATAGATTGTTTTATTAGTTATGATTTTCAGCTCTTACAGAGGATGGGTACCAGGCCACCCTAACCAACAAGTGATACTCCTGCATATACTGGTAAAATGCCAATCAATGAAAAGAAAATGGCAGATTTGAACAAATTAGCAAAATATATTCCAGCAGAGTACCAAGATTCCTATACAGAGGTTTTTTCATGGCCAACAACATATTTTTAGTTCTCCTGAAAAGTTTTAGTTAATGGACTCAGTCCCTTTTCAAAATGACGGGTTCAATTAGATCGTAAAAATATGGTGTTATTTCTGTAACGAACCTAACATGTAAAATTATTTATGATTGATAGTTTTTATTTAAATTCCCTGTATATTTAGTTTAAAAAAATTGGAACGAATGATTGTGAGAATGAATATATTATTCAAGTGTTAAAAGAACTATCGACGATTTAAATACATACATTACATTGTGATGTAATCAAGCGGAAGCTAATCAGATTGTTAATAAGATTAGCCATGCTAAAATTATGCAATTTTGTTAGTTAATTCTTAATCTAATAAGATTATCAATTAAAAAAGATTAATAATCTGGCAAAGACATTTCAATTTTAATATAATTACCATTTTAAAGTTTGACAAGTGAAGTTGAGTGAAATAAAAATAAAGATGCAGGTAATTATTTTTACTGCCTATATAGATAATAAAGAAATACAGAAAAATGTTTACAAAGTAGGCCATGACCGTTAAAGACAGATATACGAATCACATCTATAATTAGTACGGAAAGTTCTGAAATAAATCCAACTTGACACATAAAACGAAGAATATTTAAACGCTGCGACATACGTAAATTTTTACAAGGCATTTTGTGGATCACTCTATATAAATAAAGTGTAAACCTGTGTCGATTGCAGATATTTAAGTTGATATAATTGCCGTTCTTTTGTTGCGATATAATAGTATGAGAGCCCACTGCAAATTTCGACCGTCATCTGATAACGAAATGAAATATGCTCCAAAGGCATGTAACAACATTGTACTTTACCAAATTGCACCTGTGCCAATCCCTATCCTGAGCAAAGTGGTTAAAAAAAATTATTTTATGTTCAAAAAATCACATAAAACATGACAGCGACAATTATGTTTTCCCTGAAAATTACAATCCTAATTCATTGTGAACCTAGCTTTTAAACCTGAATTATGATTATTTTTACCTACCTTTTAAACCATGTTTATGTATGAAAGGAAGAAGGATGGCATTATATAAACCATTTGCAGATAGAGCCAATATAAATTATAAACTCTTGTTAGACAATTATTTTAAACCATAATCATAGTAGTTTTTTTGTCGTTTCTATGGCAACCTGTAAAAATGAATCACAACAATAGACATAAAAATAAATTTTTAAATTGGCAAACATTGATTCATATTTTTAATGATATTTACCTACTAATCGTGGATAGATGTTTTTGTACGATGTTAAGAGGAAGAAAATATTTCCCTTTAACGATATATATCAAAATATATATGAATGTTATTTTCTGAAAAACTTTAAAGGCAAACAAAATTAGCGCTGTCATGCCTTATGTGATTTTTTTTATATAAAATAATTTTTTTAATCAACTTTGCTCAGGATTGGGATTGGCACAGGTGCCATTTGGTAAAGTGCAATGTTTTTCCATGCTTTTGGGGTATATTTCATTTCGTTATCAGAAGACGGTAAAAATTTGTAGTGGGCTCTTGGGCTATAACGCAAAGGTAGTTTGTCTGTAAACACTCTAAGTTTTTACTTTCCTATCTGTATACAGATATAAGGAAATTATAGGAATCATGATTTTTTCGACCTCGAGTTTTCGACAGATTTTTTTCATTTTTGAGGTCCCCTGAATCCGTTTTGACTATTTTCGCGATGATGTCTCTCTGTGTGTGTGTGTGTGTGTGTGTGGTGTGTGTGTGTGTGTGTGTGCGTGCGTGCGTGCGTGCGTGCGTGCGTGCGTGCGTGCGTGCGTGCGTGCGTGCGTGCGTGCGTGCGTGCGTGCGTGCGTGCGTGCGTGCGTGCGTGCGTGCGTGCGTGCGTGCGTGCGTGCGTGCGTGCGTGCGTGCGTGCGTGCGTGCGTGCGTGCGTGCGTGCGTGCGTGCGTGCGTGCGTGCGTGCGTGCGTGCGTGCGTGCGTGCGTGCGTGCGTGCGTGCGTGCGTGCGTGCGTGCGTGCGTGCGTGCGTGCGTGCGTGCGTGCGTGCGTGCGTGCGTGCGTGCGTGCGTGCGTGCGTGCGTGCGTGCGTGCGTGCGTGCGTGCGTGCGTGCGTGCGTGCGTGCGTGCGTGCGTGCGTGCGTGCGTGCGTGCGTGCGTGCGTGCGTGCGTGCGTGCGTGCGTGCGTGCGTGCGTGCGTGCGTGCGTGCGTGCGT